GATCCCAATACAATCTTTGACTCAGAGTTGTTGTTGGAGATATTGTCCTAGGGAACAGAATTTCTGTTAATGATCCTTTTGGGGCCCCCAATGCATTAGAGATAACTTCATTACATGTTGACCCATGAAAAGCAACTAACTTAATCCCAGTTGAAATCAATGAAAGTTAGGTGTCTAAATACCTTTGAGCATCTGGGCTCTATGATTCCAGAAACTTCTTTTTCAGAGCTGGGCAGACTTGGAATGCACTTGATTGCTCAGACTAAGTTACAGGATTTTTTTTTAATTGTTATATTGTAGGGTTAGATGTTGACTTTCTTAGGTGAAAGAAACTGTGAATGGTTATAAAATCCCTAGGGATACATAAACTATGTTTATTCAACCTGCAGAATGAACTGAAAATATCTAAGTGACAAGCTGAGCCAATGCAAGCTATGGTAAGTGTACACTGAACAATGTCAATATGGGGAGGCAGGGGGGAGATAAGACGAGAACAGCAAACACTTTACATGGAACTATCAATATGCTTTAATGTATCCTAAATAACACTTGAAGGCACCCAGACTACTAATTCTCTATATCAAGTGCCTAATGTGAGGCACCCAGACTACTAATTCTCTATATCAAGTGCCTAATCTGAGCCCAGTACAGGCAGTCCCCGGGTTACGTACAAGATAGGGACTATAGGTTTGTTCTTAAGTTGAATTTGTATGTAAGTCGGAACTGGTACATATTGTAGGGGAAACTCTAGCCAAACATTTCTCCAGAGCTCAGTTTTATTCTCCCACACCTCACTTCCCTCAGTCCTTTATTCTCAAGCTGAGGTGTCTGCTGAGAAAAGCCGCTCCGCGTCTCCCTGGTCTGCTGGGGGGGGCGCTAGCTTTGCGTCTCCCTGGTCTGCTGGGGAGAAGCAGCTAGTGCGAGGTTGCCTCACCCCGTTTGTAAGTAGGGATCCGATGTAAGTCGGATCATGTAACCCAGGGACTGCCTGTATATGAAATCTTCTGTCATGTGAGTGAACAGTAGTAGAATTCTCTGTGTGAGGAAAGACTATTTGTCGGAGGAAGGGTTTTTATGACTGGGCCCTCAGCCCATGAGTGCTGTAAAATAATAATTTTTAGTTACATAGTAATTTTCCTCCAAGCAATAATTTGGTGATTCTCGATTTCCCAGCTGTTTAATCTATAGAGCAAGTCTCCATTTAACTTTAAAAAATCCACAGTAATCATTCTCTGGGCAATTTTTTGACCCAGGATATAAAGCGTACACACAATTAATTCCTTAAATGATATATCATATAGAGAGTATCCTGACACCTTGGCAGAGCTGGTAAGATTTTTCATTGATTAATAGCTCACAGTGAATGGAAACTGAATATGAACTTGGTAAGATCAACATCATCCATACAGGCATGATCAACTGTTGGAAACAGCAGAAGGAGACTTGTCTGGTAACACATTGCTAATCGTCACAGCACTCAAAGTTTCATCTGCTACGAGCATAATTTCACGAGGTGATCCTTCATCCTCTTTGTGTTTCAATGAGAAATACATTGGGATTTTTTTGACGTTTTTTTTATAAATATCAGGAAATGAGGCAAAAAAAGCATGTATAAAACAAAAGTCACGCCCACCACACATATAGAGAAGTAAATTAAAAACATGCTACGAACTTTCTAACTAGTGGTCACCATATGTAGCTCCTTATATTTTAAATGCTGTATTCATTTTTAAATCAATGCCTACAATACCCCATACGTGGTAAGTATCATCACCATTTTTCAAAGAGGCAATATCGGCACATAGCACAGCTAAAGGAAGTGACAAGAGCCACAGATGAAGTCAGTGTCAGAGGCAAAACTGAAATCAGATAAGTTCCTGGTTTCTAACTTCATGCCAATCACCAGACAATGTTTTCTCTCATGTTAGTTCTCCCTAGACATTATGACTCTCTGGATGACCTTGTTTTCACAATGCCCTGGTAACAGAAGATGACTGTACCCTTCCCAAAACTCTTGCACTTTGAATAAAAGGAACCACATCAACAGAGCTCCAGTTACAAGTAAGCACATACATAAGTCTAGACACGGAAATAGAGCCTTTGATAGCAATGGCTCAAATTCTTTGCCATGTACGTGGGAACTAGAAGTGCAAGGGGTGGGAGAGGCCTTGCAGCACCCTTGGACTCCCAGCCTTGTGCTTGAGGTCCTTGCTGCTACCCTGCTACCTGGGCTTTAGGCTGCCCTGGGGCTACGTCTAGACTGCATCTCTCTGCCGACAGTGGGATATATATTAGGCACTTTGGAAGTGCAAATGAGCCCGGGATTTAAATATCCCAGGCTTCATTTGCATACTCACATTCGGGCGTGGTGCCGATCACGTGCCCTTTCAAACATGTAAGTAAAGTGTAGCAGCGGCTCTGCCGACAGCGTGGAGCTTTTTTGGCAGATTCTGTACTACTCATTTTTTGTAGTCTAGAGACAGCCCCCTGTACTCCTCATTTTTTGTAGTCTAGACACAGCCCCATTAAAAATAAAAAAGATAATTAAGGGGTGATTTTGATAGTGGTCTATAAAATTATGCATAGTGTCAAGAAAGTGAATAGGGAAGTGTTATTTACCCCTTTTAGTAATTCAGGAATTAGGGGTCACGCAATGAAATAAATAGGCGGTGGGTTTAAAACAAGTATTTCACCACACAATGCCAACAATCTGTGGAACTCATTGCCATAGGATGTTGTGAATGTGAATGGGTTCATTTAAGAATTAAATAAGTTCATGGAGGATAGATCCCTCAATGAGTATTAGTCAAAGTGGTCAGGATGCAACTCCATGCTCCAGGGTCCCTAAATCTCCAAATCTCAGAAGCTGAGCCTGGATGACAAGAGATGGATCACTTGAAACTATACTGGTCTGTTCATTCACTCTGAAACATTTGGCACTAGCCATTGTTAGAGACAGAATACTAAACTAGACAGAACATTTGTCTGACCCAGCATGGCTGTTCCTATGTTCTTTCATTCACTCTCTTGCTAACTAAAGAACCCTTCACACCAGGGTGGAGCACAGCCTCATCTACATGACCCACACTGAGTTCAGCAAAGCTGCGGGGAGCCCACAGCTCTTGCATTAGGGGAACCAATTGAGACTGAGTGCAGGTGGTGCCCTTCCCTTCTTCACTCCATCCCTTCCCAGTCTAATAAGAGACCCATTCTCAGCACATGCCAGTGCATTCAACGCTGCATCCTGCTCTCCCTCCAGAGGCTGCGTGGGGAGCTACACAGTCATGTACATTACCTATTGGTAGCGATGGCCCTGGCTGTTACCACTCGAGAGAGATCTTGGAGTCCATTTGGATAATGCTCTGAAAACACCTGCCATTGTGCAGCAGCTGTCAGAAAAACCTATTGTGTTAGGAATCATTAGGAAAGAAGTAGGCAATAAACCAGAAAATATTATAATGCTTGTACATGAATCAAGGGTATGATAAAACTATGAATACTCTGTGCAGTTCTGGTCACCCCATCTCAAAGATACATTAGAGTTGGAAAGAGAGACAATGAAAATGAATAGCAATATGGAACAGCTTCCATAGGAAGAGAGATTAAAAAGGAGGGATTGGTCAGTTTAAAAATAAAAAAGATAATTAAGGGGTGATTTTGATAGTGGTCTATAAAATTATGCATAGTGTCAAGAAAGTGAATAGGGAAGTGTTATTTACCCCTTTTAGTAATTCAGGAATTAGGGGTCACGCAATGAAATAAATAGGCGGTGGGTTTAAAACAAGTATTTCACCACACAATGCCAACAATCTGTGGAACTCATTGCCATAGGATGTTGTGAATGTGAATGGGTTCATTTAAGAATTAAATAAGTTCATGGAGGATAGATCCCTCAATGAGTATTAGTCAAAGTGGTCAGGATGCAACTCCATGCTCCAGGGTCCCTAAATCTCCAAATCTCAGAAGCTGAGCCTGGATGACAAGAGATGGATCACTTGAAACTATACTGGTCTGTTCATTCACTCTGAAACATTTGGCACTAGCCATTGTTAGAGACAGAATACTAAACTAGACAGAACATTTGTCTGACCCAGCATGGCTGTTCCTATGTTCTTTCATTCACTCTCTTGCTAACTAATGCATGTAATTAGTAGATGTTGTGCTATCTCAGGTGTTCTCTTTTTGGATGGCATACAAAATCATGGTCTGGACTACAGGAGGTTGCTAAAGGCACCATATTACTTTTTGGAGGAGTAGAGATGTTAACCCTACTGTCCTCCTGTCCCAATCTGAAATAGAGTAACTACATCTCATTTCTAAAATTGAGAGCTGAGATGGGTATTCTTTACTTCCTGCCCTCAATGGTTTCAGAACATTGTTCCAGGCTGTATCACCAAGGCATTTCAGTGGCAGCTCCTATGTTCTGCCACATTTTCTTAAAACACTTGATCCTCTATCCAAAGCCATCCTGTCCACAGGATGGTTCAGGGTTGCCCTACACCTTGCACTTTGGGAGGCCCTGCACTTCAGGAGATGTGACAGCGCCGGGGTCAGCAACAGTACTACGGGCTTTGCTCCGCTACGTTGCACCTTTCCAGCTTCCGGCATCACTCAGGAAAGGTGAGGGCAGGAACTTGCAGGGAAAGGTCAGAATGGGTATGGGACAGGGGTGAGAAAAGGTGGGACAGCTGGGGGCTTGGGGAAAAGGGTAGAATGGGGACAGGGCCTAGTGCAAAGGGTGTGGGGGCTTCTCCCAGGCCTCATCTCCCCCTAGGGATGGCCCTGCCTGTATAAATGTAGGGTCACTTATTTTACCCTAAGATCATAAACCAGCCTCTATCCTATCTTTAGCCTGTAAATTAGAATAACTTCATTGACTTCAATAGAACCAGACTCATTTATGTCATCTGAGAATGGGACCCTCAGATCTGAAAAGACAAATATGATCATCTCATTAGCACAGGCAGTAGTAATTCCAAGACTTAGCCCCGTAACCTGAGGATGAAACAGAGAATTTCTTTCAGCTAGGCCTCCAAACCAACTCCCTTGTTATTCAATTCCAATGGCTACTTACCAGTAGAGTTGCTAAAATGTTTTGTTTCCTGTTCAGTTTTTCTGAGCTTTGTTGGATCACGTTATGCCTTTGTTTAACTGCAGTTTATATCTATTTGATAGGTGTGGATACCTGCTAATCAACGAACAGAGGTAGAAAATCTTTTATCATTACCTGCCATCAAGTGGGTTCTTTTACCGTCACGCATCTCTTGTACATGGTGAGCTGAACATTCAGATTCTCATGGCTAAAGGGCAGTAACAAGTAGAGGCGAGTCATTAGACAAAAACAGTAAAATGGATGTAACATGCTGGTGCACGAGCGACTGTTGCCTTAGGACTCCATTAACTTGCACATTCCTCTCTTGAAAGCTTTTATACACAATACATGCCTTAAAGCTAGTGCTCCTTTCCTGGTTCATTCCTCTTTGGAGTCTGGTCAGACCAGTTCAGAGAAAGTCCTTTTGGATGCGTTTCAGTAATTTTCTCTTAATACCTATGACTTTTGTGTCCTAGCGCTGACTAGTTTGCTAAGCTGACCATATCAGTACAATGTCACTAGAAAGCTGTGTGCCGGGGTCCTATTTTAATACACTGATTCACCAAATCTGCTGCAGAGTTTAGCTAGAATAAACTGTCTCCTTAGCAGCTCCAGACAGATTGGAATGATAGTGGAGATTCAGTTAGTGGAAAGATGCCTTTTCCTTCTTGTCCTAGTGTAGAAAAGACAGGCTGTGGCTAAGTGATCATACTCTATTAATACCTTCCAGTATTAATACCTTCCAGTCAATATTAAGGAAGGGAATAATTCAGAGTCTCAGAAGATGGCGGGGGAAAGGGTAAGCCTACAGAAGGAAAAGTTTGACTATGTTGGGAGGACAATATTTTGGCATAAGAATTGCACACTGGACAAGGCATTTTGCAATATCAAAATTTTACTGTTGTTTAAACCTTGCTTGTGAATGTCCTCATAAACCCACATTCACAATCTCCTACCATAACATTAAAAAACAGATACCTTCAAATTTTGAAGCAGTGACTTTTTTTGGACAAACTTAAACAACAAATGGTCTGGTAGCACTTTATAGGCTAACAAAACATGTAGATGGTATCATGAGCTTTCGTGGGCACAGCCTACTTCTTCAGATGACTGGAGTTTTGAGTTTGAGTTTTGGACAGTTCATGGTGTTGTTTCATTCTCTAATATTACCTTTTCCTAGTAATTGATTTTGAGCAAGGTGTTTGTAGGCTTCTGAAGGGGATATGTGGAGATCTAGCCTACGATTTTAGTTTTGATAGAATACAAATGGCTAAAGTGGAGTTAATTGTCACCATTTAAAAAAAGTCAACATTATCATCACCTGCATATTTGACTGTACCATCCAGAGTGGTTACATTTATGGTGGAATTTCTCATTCCAGAAGTTCTCAGGATTTTGAAGTGAGAGCTGCATCTTAGGCAAGACTGGGCAATAATTTCTGAAGGGGATCCACTTCACAAATTTCTGAAGTGGCCCTGGGCTGCCCTGGAAAAGGCAGGGCCTTAAGCAGAATGGGCGGGGCAGGACACTTCCTGTGCTCCTCCGCCCACAGACCCTGATTGGCCTGGGGATGGGGAAGCATGTGAAGTCTTTCACCTCCGCCCACCCCCCGGAGTTCTGAACAGCTGACTGTTCCCTCTAGATACTGTGTGCCTGTGTCAGTGGGAGGAGACTTTGCGTACTCCCCATTCCCAGGCCAATCAGAGCCTGGAGACGGGGGGGAGGAGGGGGAAGCGCTCCCCAGCTCCACCTTGAAGCAGGACATGGCACCTAGAGTGAACTGCCAGCTGTTAAAAACAGCTGTTGTTCCCTCTGGTGCCACACGCTCCTGGTGGAGGAAGGAGACTCCACATGCTCCTCTGTCCCCAAGTCTCGATTGGCCTGGGGGCAGGAGAGTGGCAGGGCAGTCGTGGGCCAGATCAACTGGCTTGGTGGGCTGGAACTGGCACACGGAGGCTCTCTTGCCCACCCCAGATCTTCGGTATAGAGAAAGTCTCCTGGATACATTTTCCCTTCCATTCATGTTTCTGCTGCCTACCTTCCCTTTCATGGTCTTGTGACATCCTTATAGAAGCTTATCACTTTCTTAAATTACAATGTAATGTCAGGAAAGTGGCCAGTGTATTTTTAGTTGCTTCATGATGCACTTTAGCAAATAGTCTCAGAGGGTTAGTCAAGTTAGTCTGTAACTTTTAAAAAAACAACAAGTAGCCCTATAGTATCTTAGAGATTTTTGCCCATGAAAGCTCATGATACTATATATAGTTTTTTGTTAGTCTCTAAGGTACTACAGGACTACTCGTTTTTTTTAGCAAGGAGAAAAAGCAGCATCTTGTGACTAACCAACTTTCCATAGACCATGACCAAGTGCCCCACAGACAACCAATAGTCCACAGGTCACAGTGTGTGACCCTTAATTTAGAAAACTACAAAGAGCATTGTAAACTGAACAGCTATACATGGAAAATATTAATACGAACATCCATTATACAAAAACAGAGTGTGTCCCATGATACTTTTAAACGCTCCTGATTGAATAAAATCATTCTGTTTGCTTGTGCTGTTGGGGATGGAAATCCTGCCCCTAGAACTCAGCAAGAAGCAGTTCTCATTGTTTTCTCACTCTGTTACTAGGTAAGAAAGTCTCACAGGCTTTAGATGTTGTAAAATGGAGGCTGACAGACATTATAAAAAATTTAACTGGGGTCTAAATCATTCTGTGCAGCCCTGCTAGCTTGATAATTATACATGATTACAGATCCCCATGATTGCTTCTGTGACTCTAAATGGAGTTTTAAGGGACAGCCTGCTAGCTTGATAATTATACATGATTGCAGATCCCTATGATTGCTTCTGTGACTCTGAATGGAGTTTTAAGGGACGGGAGGAACAGGTGGACTAGGAAGATGATTGAGGCCTTTCAGGATTGATTTTATTTAATTTCAAATTCATAACATGCTTGGGAAATCAAAATATATTAACAGAACCTGTAAACTGTGTGTAACTCTTAAAGGGGATCAAAAATAATCCAGATATGTTGTCAACTTTCATAGTTTTTGACTTGTGGTTAAGGAATTTAGATTTGGACTCCAGTATTACTTCAAAGAAAAAATTATAAATTGGAAGTGTGACCCCTTAATAAAGCTACATCTGGTAAGATTATCCTTGAGAATTGCAATTTGTTCCTTGCACAATTTGTTCATATGAATCCAATATACACATACACAAAAGTACAATAAAAGTAGGAAACTATGTATACTTGGGTAAGGGTTTTTGTTTTGACAAATACAATCTTTTCCCCCATTGATACTAAAATAAACATGACTTATTCTGCTTTGTTCATCATTATTTGGTTCTATATCATTCCAAAATATAGTTTCAGTATCAAAAGTTTGGGACTCTCAACTATCAGAAAGCTTGATAAAAATGTCATGAAAGCTGGACTCCAGGAATATATACATTGACCACAGAGCAACATTTTATTCAGCATATTTCAAAGCAATAAATACCACAAGATCATCAGGTGAAACTAGCACCAGTCACCTGTCTACATGAAGGTTTCCATTAGAAAAGTGTTTTGTTGCATAAATTGCAATAATCTTTGGAGACTTTTATATCTTTTCATTAGAATTAAGTAAATGTTACTAGAGGATTCAGGATTTCTGAAAGCAAAGATGCTTTTCCTGCATATAAACTTCTCCAGATACTTACTTTACTTGTATCTTCTCCATAGGTAGGGCCCTACAAAACTCATAGCTGTGAAAAATGCATCATGTGCTATGAAATCTGAACTCTCCCTGGGAAATCTGATCTTTTGTGTGCTTTTACCCTGTGCCATACAGAGTTCACAGGGCGAGGGTAGGAATGTTAAATATAGTTTAACCATCTAATTGACTAGTCGATGGATTTTCCACTGACTAGTCGATCAGTCAATAAGCAGGGGAGCTGCAGCAGGGTTAGCTCCCGGTCCTGGCAGCAAACCCAGCTGCAGCTCTGCCCTTTAAATGTATTAAGAGCCAGCAGGCTCTTAATGCATTTAAAAGGCTGAAGCACAGCAGGGGGGACCCAGCTGGCTTGTGCTGTGTCCCCTCTGCTGAATTTTAAATGTTTTAAGAGCCCGCAGGCTCTTAGTACATTTAAAGGGCTGGTGCACAGAGCAGAAGTAAGTGTGGCATTACCACGACTCCCCTACAATAACCTTGTGACCCACCCACTACCCTGTGTAGGTCAGTACCGCTATAGGTACAACACTGAGAAATTTCAAATGTAAATATCTGAAATCATGGAACTGACCAAAATGGACCATTAATTTAGTAGGGCCCTACCCACACATCACTGCATCCCTTATCCTTAGGAAAACAGCCTTGCATTTCAGCCTCTCATATTTCTGTCTTGATCCGTATAATCAGCTGTCTAGGTCTTTTTTAACATTGTTCCCACTGAAAGACCTATGTTTGTGCAAGATAAATACTGCATCTTTTTCTTGGTTCAAAATCAAGCAGGGTTTGACATATTCATAGATTTTAAGGCAAGATGGGATTAGATAATCAAGTAGGGATGTTAACGGGTAACAGGTTAATCAGTGACCCAGTCAGCATCACCCATAATGGTGATGCTTACTGGATAACAGTAAACTGATTCCCAGGAGCAGCCCCCTGCTCATGACCCACCGTAGGTGCAGGGCTTCTGCAGCGCTGCGGGGCCCCTGTGTGGGCAGCATTCCTATGCAGGCTCACCAGGTCTGCTGGCAGCGGCACTGGGTTGGAAGCCAACAGAACCACGCTGAGTCAGAAGAAGCCACCCTGAAGTGGCCCCCAGCCCACTCTTTTTTTTACCAGTTAACCAGATGAACTTCACATTTAACCAGTTAATCAATAAAACAGCATTTCACATTCCTAGTTATTCACTTCTTCCAAGTGAAAAAAAAAGTGTTACTTATTCTTTCACATAATGCTAGACCCAAAGGTCAGCCAATGAAATGTATAAACAGCATGTTTAAAACAAATAAGGAAGTACTATTTCACAATGCGTAGTCAGCTTGTTGCCAGACGATGCTGTGAAGCCAAGAGTATAACTGCATTAAAAAAACACACAAAATAGTCTGTGGAGGACAGGTTCAAGAGGGCCGGCAGACTTGCCAAGCCCCTGGGCAAGGTGTGTG